TATATATATATTGTTGGGGTTGTTATGTGCTGGTTTATGGCATGCGATGATAGATTTATGTCCTTATTTAATAAAGAGTGCAAGGAACACCGTGCAACACATAGCAACCACTCAGATTCCATCTTGTCTGACTTCAGCATTGTGAATTCTTATCAGATGTCTAGTAAATGTGGGTCGCTGCCTGTACACTAAAACTGGCCATACACTAATAGCTTTATGTTTTCTTAAAGAAAGACATCAAACAGATTCCTCCACCCATGCTGAACAGTATGGATGGAAAATCTCGCTGGCCGGATTATTGTATTCTGACAGCCGGCGCCCACCGCTTTTGGAATAGCCGCAAAGTGCTTTAGCTGATTGGCTGTAGTCACTGGTCGGCCAACAAATTTCAGCCCGGCTCCTTCAACAAAATTTCTGTCAATTGGCTGAAAGTTTATTAGTTTATGGTCAGCTTAGGCTCCTTTGCTCATTTCACTTATTACTGAACAAGGCTTTGTGACGTTTTTTACTCCAGATTTTTATCATTTCAATTACACAAATAAAGATGAGACATTTTTTCTTAAGAATGAGCTGCGGTGCTAGTAGCGGTATAGACTGTATTTAATATCAGGTGCTGCTGTAGGCCTAAAACGGAGAATCAAACATGTTTTAACCCTATATAATTAGGACAAAGGTAGACACACGACGGTCAGTCTGATTTCATCCATTTTGCGCAGCCAGATTATGTTGATTGATTGCTTTACAGAAATAGCCAGTTTTAACTTTATTTATTAACATGGTACGAATAGTTAATTACCAAAATCAACCTGACACGTAGCTGTACTGTAGGCAATAAAACAATTCTGATTTATTTCAGCAATGGTCTAACCTTGCATAGTATTTAAATGATCCAGTCTGATTCCTTTCCAGATCCAGAATATTGATCAGATGCTAAAGAAATTTTTTTTAAATTTGAACCCTTAGCTGGTTTTTACAGCCATGCTAATGGCATTCGGCATCTAATTGGTTGCTATGGGTTACTGCTCATCCTTGCTTTTTGTATTGCTCATACTGATTAAAGCTGATGATGTCTGTGAGTTGTTGTTTTTTGTTTGTTTACTGTTTGGGATAAACTTGGTTTTGTTACATTTGGATGGATGACAACAATGTAACAATTTGTTTTTTCCTATCTAGCTGGCCAACGCAGTGGGATAGGACGCCATTCAAAAGGGAACTTCCAAGGGGTCCGAGTGAGAAATCCTGTGAGGGAACTTCTTAATCAGCTAAGAAATCAAATTAACAATGGCACAGTGGATTGTCAGGTATGATTTCCTTTTTCATACCAAGGTTCTTTATGGAAAAATAAAATATAGCTGACAAAGAACTTTACAACTGTGTCATTGTGGCTCAATGTTCCCTCTTATTGTTGTAATGATTGTAAATAACAGTGCTCCTGCTTATGGCCCCTTTCAGGCAGGCATTCCGATCAGGTCCTTTTTAGGACTCCGTCCAGGTCCAGAAAACCAAACAGAAGAGATTTCTGTTTTGGCGGACCTGATTGTGGCGGGTCGAGGGTAATCTGATGTAAACTAACACATATCCGTTTACATCCGATTCCCCATAGACCAACATGAGTGCGGTAAGTTCAGTATTTTCCTTCATGACAAGATGGTGGGAAAAAGAACTGGACAGACACAACTGTCAGAACAGTGAAATCCATTCCGAACTGCTCTGATCAGCAGGGGATCTGTGCACGGATCCCCTGCTGGTTGGAACTGACAGACGCCTGTGTGAAAGGGGCCTATGTTTGTGCTTTGTAAAATGAACAATAAGAAAAAGTCAATAAATTATTATTTGTTTGTGATTTGACACAATTGCACTGTGTAGTAATTCATGGCTACAGTGCAATGTATTTTAATGATGTTTGACTAACATCATTTTTTTTTTCTTTTACAGAAACAACAAAGCTGTGAACAGTACACTGGTAGGTTTATTTTCACCATACAACAAATATATCAAGGAATATATATTAATGAACTTAGAGATTTTGTCTCTGGCTTTAATACTTTTCAAGTTACTGACCTGGAACTATCTTGTAGCAAGTGACATGTCAGTCTCCCTTGGTGTAAACATCATTATTTTTCTCTATTCCTCCAGAACTGAAGAATATATTAAACAAAAAGCGGCTTATTGAATACATGTCGGATGCACCAGATGCAAAGAAACCGTGCCCCTACCAATCCAGTTCTTTCCTGGTAAGTGCATGCTCACCTAAAACTATAATACACTAGCGTTTTTCAATAGTGCCTCAGTTGCTTAACCCATAAATGTTTCCTTTAGACACCACCAAGTACCCCAAAATCCTGTGACCTCATGGATGAAACTCCAAAGAGTGAGAGTGGTACGGAATCAAATGTGGATCCGCTTCAGAGTATAATGAACCTGAAACATAAGTCAAATCCAGTTTCCCTGAACACTGTGCTAGTAAACTGGATGAATACCCCAGACCATTTCTATCAAGATGCGCCTGTAGCACAAACCTATTCACCACCTCAGGCCAATCAAGCATTCAGAAGCTGCTCTCCACAGAACAAGAATAACCAGTACCAGTTTGGTCGTCCCCAAGTTCAAAACATTCCACAGTGTCCTACAGAGTATAACTACAGTAATATCCAGAATTATCCAGAAGCCATGTGTTCAAATGATGTGCTCCAGAGTTGTGCCATCGAGAGCTACCTGTCTCTTATTGAATCCCCACCTGAAATGACATCTCCGAACAGATCTACAGAGTCAAGTATGCCCGCTGAGAAGTTCAGCCCACCACTGAACCCACCTTCTACCCAATTTGTAGATCATAACCTGGCCCAGTCACCCCCAAGTGTTTCCCCATCTTTGTGCCAGATTGATGCAAACAGGTCGAGCCCATTGCAGATTGGTAAATCCTTCTTCCACTGGCAGATTGAGCAAGAGGAAAAGAAACTGGCCAATGTTTCCCATGAACATCTTCTAACCAAAGACGCAGATGGTGATACGTAAGTAATTTTTAAGCCTGTCATTGATTTATTTTTTTTCAAACAGATAACATGTTTTATAAAAAAACTTGCTTTACTTTGTGGAGATAGTGTCAGTGATTTAATATGTATCTCTGTGTATCATAGGTACCTTCACATAGCAGTTGCACAAGGAAAAAGAGCTATGTCATATGTCTTGGCTTGCAAGATGGCTGCCCTTAATATGCTGGATGTTAAGGAACATAACAACCAGGTAAGCCGTCAAGCAATATTTACTGTACATTTATCTATCTGTAGGCTGGTGTTTGGTCAAATGATGGAGGACATTTCACAGGAATATGTAGTTCCTCTTTCTGCAAAAAATGTGACAGTCTGAAAAGTTAATCAGAAACTGGGATCATTCAGGCTTGTCATGACAACCTTTTATGACTAATAAAAGAACAAAGTCCAAACTACAAGGTTTCATGCATGCTTCTCTGCATGTTCTTGATTTTATCATCTTATCTTGAATTATCTTTACTTCTTTTTTTACATTCTGGTTTCCTTGTACGTGTCGGGCAAATCCTAGGCTTAAAGGGAAGGTGTATAAGCTGTTCTGAGTTTTTTAATTCAGTGTTTATCTTAAAGAAATGATTTTATATACATAAATAATAACATATTTGAAGGCATGCTCTTCCATATTTTTCACCAATTTTAATAAAGGTATTTGAAAATTGGCAACTAGAAATGGCTCTCAGAGGCTAATTTACAAATCCCTATATCTTATAATTTTTTATTAATCCCTAAGCATCACCACTGTGTTGTACTGCATACAATTAGGCAGAGACTACATATAAAATAAGTTAGTTTGACTAATCTTGCAAACATATATGAATATATATATATATACAAATATAATAAAACGTTTGCAGAGTGCAAACATAATTTATATCAAGTTGGTCTTTTTTAGATGTTTATGACTCTACATTTGTTGTAATGTTTTTGTCTTGTTATCATTTCAGAGTGCCCTGCAAGTAGCTGTAGCTGCCAATCACCATCTGATAGTTCAAGATTTGATCAACCTTGGGGCCCAAGTCAACACTACAGATTACTGGGGAAGAACCCCTCTTCATGTCTGTGCTGCAAAAGGGTACTCACAAGTTCTTCAGGTGAGATATAGGCAACACTTCACTGTATAGTCTAATACTGTAACCTGTGTTATTTTTAGATATTTATTAACCATAGTTGAGCCTTTTTTAATATATGCACGTAAAAAAAGCAAATATTCTCTATGTGTTGCTTTTAGGATTTTACATCCTTAATTTTTGTTTCTTGCTTAGTATGCATATTATCCCTCTTTTAAAGCATTTTATTTTTCTCTTATTTTAGGCAATCCAAAAAGGCATTCTAGCAAGCAATCAATACATTGATGTGGACCAAACAAATTATGATGGTAAGCATAGGGATATAATCTACTTTTGTCTACCTGACTATATCATTTCATATACCGGACCTGATGCTCTAGATCTATAATGTCAGATCCAAAATACACAGTAAAAGTGCCATAAATATAAACTATACCAGGTACTGACAGTAAAACTACACTATGAAAAACTTAGTATTAAAACAGCCACAAACCTTGTTACTTAAAAATATCTTTATTAGGTAATCCAAAAATATAAGACATATGAATGGTTAAGTACATATTTACATGTTTTGAAATGTTTGAAATTGCATGCCTAGTATAACAAAGATAGCATGGTATCTTGACCCAGTGTATAGCCTAGCCATATCACCTGTCTACTCAAGCTTTCAGGTTATTTTACTACATAGACCATGCATGCACTTTAACTCATGCCCTATGTTTCATAGGTTTGACTCCTCTACACTGTGCAGTACTTGCACACAATTCCATCGTCCAGCAACTGCAGATGTATCAGCAAAACTGTGGTCCTGCTACAGATGAACTGCTGATGAAGAACAAGACAATGGTTGACACTGTTAAGACATTGCTTCAGATGGGTGCCTCTGTTGAAGCAAGAGTAAGTTGACTTGCTGCATTGTTCAAAGTTTCTATTTTTCTCTAACCTTTAAGGTAAACCTAAGCTATAGAACTCACACTAATTACATGTGCGTACCTAGCACACAAATGCCTGTCAAAGAGGTTCTCTTTGATTCTAAACAATACAGGGTAATGAGCAGTAAGTCAAATTGGAATTTCACAGCCAGAGCAACTTGCATTCAAGTCGTTTTGTCTGCCATACTTGCTAACCTTGCTTGCTCCCCCTCCCATCTGTAACACTGCAGCCTTTTCTTATGAGCCTGTTTTATAATTTCATGCAATTCCCCAGACAGGCTATAGAATGTAAATAGATGTTGACATGGGAGTGTGTTGATCTGTTCTTGCTGAGTGTTTAACTAACACAGCCTGCCAACCTGCAGGTGCACTACCAAGTGCTGCAGGGTCATTACACTTTGGGTTAGCGATTGGTTTTTCCATGGTTTGGGCACAGGTTTGTTTAAGGTAATAATAATTACAAGTTAGGCACAATGTTTAAAGTAGAAGAGGCTAATAATTATTTTGTTGGATGCACTGACAAATTGAATGCATTTGTCATAGCAGCAAAAACTTTGAGGGATTCTCACCTATGTATTTCTTGTACAGGATCGCAAAAGTGGACGTACTGCTCTGCACTTGGCTTGTGAAGAAGCTAACCTTGAACTGATGAGTCTCTTTTTAGATCTGCCAAATTGTCTAAACTTCATCAATGCAAAGGTAAGTAATATATATGCACACAATTAAAATTTTGCCTTTAGTCCTTCTATGGCTTGTTTTTCATTAAGTCATTAGCTTGGCAAGGGGTGCTGGATGTTACAGCAGTAATAGTAAGAGAATGCACATTAACAGGATTATTTCTGCAAAGTACTGCAAAGAGCTCTTTGCTCTATCTTGTACGAAGTGAAGTGACTTTGTCTCTAAAATCAGTGTGTAGAATAAAGTGTTCCCAGAAAAGAAGACTCATTTTTCCTATTGCCTGTGGTGCCATTTTTAACTGTAATGCTGAAAAAACACAGACTGAAGAATCTTTAGAATTCACACTTCTGGGGTGTCCATTTCCTGGACCCCCGCCATGCACAGGGATTCCCTGAACTGGCTGCTATATCACTACAGGTCACATAAATCACATAGGAGCTGCAGGATTGAACCACAGAACACAGCATGTGACAGGAATTTGACATTTCTAAAAGAGTCAAATTCTAAAGAGTCTTCATTTGTTTGCTGTTACTTTATTTTACACATTAATGTTATCGACAGAACCATATATGCCTTCATTGTGTTAGGAGGGGAAAACCAGATTTATTTTCCTTTTAGAAAATGTCAAAATCCTTTGTCTTTTTAGGCCTACAATGGAAACGCAGCATTGCATATTGCAGCAAGTTTGCAGTACAGAAGAGCTCAGGTTGGAGCTGTAAAACTTTTGATGAGAAAAGGGGCTGATCCAAGTGCTCGAAACCTAGAAAACGAGCAACCAGTACATCTTGTATCAGATGGATCTGTAGGAGAAGAGGTAAAACTTTCCTGCATTATTATTCAGTTTTACACTGAGGAAATAGATTTTCCATGTGCTCTGTGTGCTCTTGTAACCCGCTTGGTTCTGTACTCCTCAGCTTACAGTCTGCTAACCTTGACTCTTTTGTTATGCTTTATATTTGTCTAAAATCCTTTGCAAATTGATAACTGCTGAAAACGTCTAACCACTGTATTATAATAATATCATCTTTGTTTTTCATTCCTCCTTTACAGATTAGACGCGTTCTCAAGGGTAAATCCGTGCAGCAGCGTTTACCATCTTATTAAGCTCCCGCAAAATCCACTTCCACACTCTCGCCAGTTAGGCGGTCTTTAATTATGTAAATAGGTTTGTCTTTGTCAAGGACAAATAAAAGTTGGTTTCTGTGAAACCATATAATGGTGTTGGCTATTATGTAGCCACCTTATTACAACTCGTGACAGTAATAATACTGGTTTTCCTGTATATTGTCTTTATACCTTAATGGATTGGGAGCACTTATTTTCTTCTTAAATGACTCTCTAAACAACCATCAACACATATGACTGTTATAGGAACTAAAAAAGTCCCATGCATCTTTCATGTTGTTTTTTTAATTAGCGGATGCCTCAAGCAATTGAGTGTTGTTTTCATAAGATTGTAAAAAAATATAAATATATTTTGAGACAAAATAAATCCTAATTGTTAAGTAAATCTGTGTCAATCAGAATTTATAAATGTACCTACAATGAAGGGATTATATTACAGATGTGTTAGATACTTAGTGATTAATATGTAGCGTCTGTAAAGTGTGTAGAGCCAATATGGTAGTGTTTATTTTAAGGATTCTGGGTATTAAAGATACTTATTTTGTTTAACCTACACTTATTAAGATTGTATGCATCAACATATACTTAAAGTTGATGGATGGGTATGTGTAATAGACAGATTAATATATATTTTTTTCTTTTCATTGTATGTAATAAAAAGCTGGTATTAAATATGTATTTAATGTAAGTGATTAAAAAGCACACGTTATGTTTAGGTTATATATAGTATGTCTTGTAGACAATGTATTGTATTATTTTGAAGTTTTTACTATATATCTATGTGAAAGAAAAAACATAAAAACAATTAATAAATTGTACATTGGAAATTATTTCTTTGTTTGTGTGGCCTTTCTTCTAATACGTAATGAAGTTGTTTGACATCCAATTGCTATACTATTACGTGCTTAAGCTTTTCATGAAACCTAAAAACCATTTGAGCCCTGCTTACCATAACTTGTGCAGACTTTACATATTCTGCTCCTTAACAGCCCATATGCTCCCATCAAGGCCACCCACACTAAGTCAACAACCTTTGACCAACAACCAGGAACTCACCAGATATCTGGACCTGCACCACTCCCATTTCCTTCTTGACCATTGGGCACCCACACCAGACACCTTAACACCAACATTCGCTTAGGGGAGACTGGTCAGGTTGACAGGGAGGTGTCTATGTTTATTATTGGGCTGGCTGACTACAGCCCAGAGCAAAATCGGAGCAAGATCAATCTCTGCACTGCTGACCTCACTCAGAATGACCAGCATCTCTACCTGTTTAGGCTGTAACCATCTCTGCACACATACAGTACTTTCAATGCTTGCTGATGTATGTGGAGCAAGTTATATCATAAATAGTCCAGCGACCAGCAGAGGAAGTTTTCTGTCAATAACATCCTCTCCGCCTCTTGCATTGAGCAAGACTGTACACCTTTCTTCGATGCTCTTGCTTTTTTATTTATTTATTTAATTTCACAAGCTTCCAGCTGTATCCTATAACCTTTATCAAATTTACAACAATCTTAACTTGCTAGCTTTTCTCTCTCCCTCATCCTCTGTTTGGTCTTACTGCCTCTTCTCCTCCTCTTCCACAATCCAGTCTTACAGCCTCCTATCAGCCTCCTCCTCCATAATGTGGTCTCCAGGCTTCTCTCCCCTTCTTTTCTACAATGGATTTTACTGCCTCTTCTAGCAATTTAGTCCAGCCTCTTTTCTCTACATGCTTCACACCCAGGTTTGCTGCCATCTACTTTCCTCCCTCTAGAAACTCTCTCCCTTTTTTTCTCAATGCAGTGTCACTGCCTCCTCTAGTTCCCTTCTCCACAAGCCTGTCTAGCTGCTTCTGCTGCTCCACAATCCTGCCTCCCTGCCTGTTCTTACTCTACTTTCCACAATTCTGTTGCGCAGCCTCTTCTCCTCCGCTATCTTGCCATGCTATGCCTCTTTTTTTTCCCAAGTCACAATATGGTTCCCCGCCTTCTTTCTCACTCCTCTCCAATCCTGTCCCACTGCCTCTTCTCCTCCCCCTCTACTATCCAACCCCACTTTTTCTTTTCCTATATCTGGTCTTACTGCCCCCTCTTTCACAATGAGAAAATTAAATTAAGGTGGGGAAAAGGTAGCGTAAGAGAATTAGGAAAAATGTAGCTCACCATAAGGATTAATTACAAAGGATCTTTATTTTTATCAATCAACTGTGACCATCACATCTCATTTGGCTGAAAATAATATACAGTATACATTTTTTAAAATAGATCCTTAATCCTTCTGTGTTAGCATTGCCTCTGCATTCGATTATCACTGGTTTTAGTAATAACTTAATACCTAGATCTGAAAGTAGAAGTCTAGGAAATGGCCTGGTGGGCCAGATTCAGCCCCTGGGCCTTGAGTTTTACACATGTGCTTTAGAGCATATGCTAGTGAACTTGTACAGTATTATACTTTTTTCTTTTATTGCAAAGGAGTGCCTATTTGAAAACAGAGTTGAGATGATCTCAGTCAGTGGACACAGAAGTTGTCAGCTCTTTCCCTGTTCCCACTGATTCTTTTAAGTGCCTGAAAACATATTATTTTGCTCGATGACACATCAGGGCAATGCAGTTACAAAACCAAGTAGATGTAATCATAAATAACTTTAGATGCCATAAAGTATGGGCATAAACACATTAGTGGTTGGTGGGAATAAGGCAGTGAAGAGTGTATATAATTTTACTTAGCATTTTATTTAGGTAAATCCATGTCAATTTCATAGAACAGCAGACATCTTAAAGTAATACAAAACACGACTGCATTAATATGCTCACACTTGGAGACTCGTATAGATAGAGTTAGGACCACACTTTGCAGAGGTGCCTTGGCGCGGCGGTGTGGCTTCTACATATTTTTGCCCAAAAGTTTGTGCAACTAAAACCTCTGTTTTTAATGCATACTGTTGACAGCGTAATTTGTTTTGTTGCAGGCTAGCTGGCAGGTGCGCTGGGGATTTGTTTGTGTTTTGTATTGTTGTAAGCCTTCCCATGTGCGCCCAGCTATAAAGGCTGGTTATAGATTCATGCGCTTACCATGTTTTTCTAGTTTGACATCTTAAAGTACCCTTTTATTTAAAATGGATCCTTTACTGTCCCCTTTTTTAACATATATACAGTAGTATGTACAGTATATATGAATAGCTGTCTCACAGTGTATAGGAAGCCAGGGATGGGTCCTGGAAGGATGATATATTTCCTCTATATCTGGGATATGGTCCCTTTAAAGGGCAAATAATGTGTTACTCACCTGCTGGGGGAAGGGTGGTTAAGACAAGTGAAGAGTTGTTGTGGCCGCATAGCTTCAGGTTTAGCTGTTTGTGCTACGGAACTTGAAAACTCTGATGGGAAGCTGGGCAGATACCCCAAAAGCTTGGGAACTGTTTAATTCTTGTTGTGGCCAAACACCTTGAAGTCAACGACACTGTTATTTTCTGTTTTGCTGAAGCAAAGCTTTTTCATGTTCCTTTGGGTCAGTGAAGACAGACTGTTTATGTTATTTTTGCTGCTGTGAAGCTATTTGAGTTAAATAAACTGTATATTTTATTGAAAAGCCTGTGTTCAGCGATCCTGCTGAATTCCCCATATATCATAACTGGGGCTCGAATGTGGGAAGGACAGAGTAACAGGCAAAGAAACCATGTTTGATTTCAAAACTGACATTTAATAGACAGTACACCTGGTGTATGACATGGGTTAAGGCTGCACAAACTCTGAAGTCTTCAACAATGGAGGAGCTGATCAAGCAGGTGACCCTGGCTAGTATGCAAGTTCAGACTCACTAAGAAGGCCGAGAGTTATTTTCTCTGTCCCTACTGGGAAAATGGGGCTTGTACAATGCTGTAAGTGTCATGTCTGGGGTCTGCTGCAGGAGGAACCCATGGAATGTGGGGTTCTCCGGAGAGAGTTCTTTAATGCACGCAGAGCCTGCACCACTCACCTTGACATTAGTGAGGGGTGATTTGAATGTGATGTCCAGATGAATCACCTCCCTGCAGGAGCATTGCTGGACTTGGGAAGCATGGCCAGACTCATCCTCAACAAGATAATAGATAATAGAATCGGTCCGGTAATTTTCAATAAAAGAATTTTACAAAGAATTATAAATATTTTTAGTGGGTCTGAGGGTATCCGGAAAGAGTACTGAAGGCAGCTTAATATAGGGCAAAAAACAAGAAAAGAGAGACATTTTTGGTAAACCACACAGGTAATAACAGATGAGTAGTCTAGAAAATTGAAAGCTACACGGCACAATCCTGCTTCATATGCAGAACAATGAATAAATATTGGCCGATAGTGATGCGGAATGAGGATTTTAAAAGAGTTGTTGAATGAACATGGAAATATATACCGGGGAAAAATCTATGGGATAGATAAGTACAAAGTCACCAGGATACAAAACATAAAAATTAATATAAAGGAGAGGAACAAAATGGCTACCAACACCACCTAAAGAATCACATCAGTGTGGTCACTGTAAGGCAATGTCAGTTTTTGTTTACAGTGAAAAAGCTAAGAAACGCATAGTGCCAACTGAAATGTGTCTCAGACACAAGTTGATTGCTAAGCTAAAGGACAATGCACTGTTCTGTCAGAAAATGAGACACATTACTATATTAGTTGCTATCCAACAGACACAATGTACTGTATATTAAAATAATGGATATAGATCAATTCAAGTCATATACTCTGAAACATTTTAGAATGTAATATTTTAGAAGAAGGTCAATGGAGAATATTGAACTTGGCTCAACGAGATGTATTTGTAATGGATCATGTAAACAGTATCATATATCTTAGGGATACCTTTGGAGAACTTTCTTGAAAAATAAAAAAATTATAAAATTGTGTGGAGGAAATTTCATAAGAAACAATGTACATTGGCCAAAAAAATAAAACTAAAGTAATGAGAAAGTTTAGCACAACAAGGGGGGCCCTATATTAGGATATTCATAGTAAGCAGTAGTCTTATCAGTTGATATTGATATTATGCTACCTAAACAGCACCATGCAGGATAATGCACATGTGCAATTATGTCATTATGCGACATGTGTGATGACATCACTGGAAGTGATGCACGTGCAGACGCCTGTAACATCATGAACAAGCATCATATGTGAGCCTAAAAAAGGCCAAAAACCATGTGGTCAGTGGACACTGTATATGTTCTTTTGCACTAGCGAACTGACACTTTGATCACATATACACCGATAAGCCATAACATTATGACCACTGAGAGGCAAAGTAAATAACATTGATTATCTTATGACAATGGCATCTGGAAGTTGGTGGGATATATT